CTCCATTAGCTTCGTTGAGTGATTTTGATCTTAGGAGCGCATCCGGAATGTGTTTTGGAGGTCTGTAGTAGATTTAGGTTTGAATTGGCGAAAGTCAGTTTTTCGGCGATTTCGGCCGATAGTGGAAATTTTGATATCGAGCTAGGAATGGAATTCCGAAAATGGCTGCAGGTTCATAGTGTCATTTGTGACCTATGTGTAAAATTTGAGGTCATTCGGACTAGATTTAATGTGGTTCGGCGTCGTTTGTAGAATTTGAAAAAATTCTAAATTCTTAGGCTTGAATCCGTACTTAATTCATGATTTTGGTGTTGTTCGATGTGGTTTGAAGGCTCGACTAAGTTTGTATGGTGTTTTAGAATTGGTTAGTATGTTTGGTTGAGGTCACGGGGGCCTCGGGTATGTTTCAGATGCTTAACGGAATGAATTTGGACTTAGGAAAAATCTGGTGCCTTGCTGGTTCTGGTGTTTCGCACCTGCGGGTGCGAGAGCCGCAGGTGCGGAGGGAGTGCGCAGATGCAGAACTGGTGGTGCTGGTGATGGAGAGCAGGTGCGCAAGTTTGACCGCACCAGCGAGCCCGCGGGTGCGAAGCGTGGGCGCAGCTGCGGAGCCTGACTGCTTTAATGAAATGGGCAGATGCGCCATTTGGACCGCCGGTGCGGTATCTGCATGTGCGAGAAATGCCGGCAGATGCGGCCCTAGCCCGGATAAGTGACCTTTGCACCTGCGATAATTTTTTCTGCAGGTGCGGGACCGCAGATGCGGCCCCATGAGCGCAGATGCGGATATCGCTGGCAGAAAAGGAAATTTCGAGGGTTTGAAATTTCATAACACAAAATTCGATTTAGAGCTCTGTGGAAGACGATTTTTCGAGGGATTTCGAAGGAGAACTATTGGGTAACTAATTCTAACTCTATTTTGATCATAATACATTAATCTATTATTGTTTTCCTCGTCTAATTAAGGAATTTGAGGGTAGAAGTTTGGAAATGGGGGAAAAGGTTCCCCAATTGAAAATCTGAGATTTGATTGGGAATTTGACGTCGGATTTAGATGATTTTTGTTCAAGTGAATGGATGTTCATAAATTATAATTTTTACCCAATTCCGAGACGTGGGCCCGAGGAGACCTTTTGGGCATTTTTCCTAATTTCATGTTTTAACTTCGAATTAATTAGTTAAATTAGTTACTTATAGTTATATTTACATTATGCAATTAATTTGAATAGATTCGGGTCATTTGGAGTCGAATACTCGTGATAAGAACGTGATATCAAGTTCATTTGAGCGGTCGGGGTAAGTGGCTTGCCTAACCTTGTATTAGGGACTTTCCCCTTAGGATGTTTGATATTAATTGATGCGTGGGCACCGTGTACGTGAGGTGACGAGTACGTACACGGGCTATTATTGCCAAAATCCCATTTTTCCTTTCTAAATCATAAACTGTTTTTCCCTTATTAAATTGCACTAATACGTTTAATTGTTTAGCTTAGACTAGAGAAGCATGCTTACGTGTTCTGCTGCCTATTTGACATTTTGTGCGGCATGCTTAGTTAAGTCCCTACTTTCCTTATCTGTGTTCAGTATAAATTGTATAACTCGATGACATACCTGCCATGTCATCTTGCGTTGCATATATAAATTGAGACTATGGACGTATTCCGGGAGATTCCCCTGTCTTGTATATTTATTTTGGAACTACGGACGTATTCCGGGAGATCCCCTAGCACTGTATATTTACTTTGGGACTACAGACGTATTCCGGGAGATCCCCCAGCACTGTATATTTACTTTCGGACTACGGACGTATTTCGGGAGATCCCCGTGTACTACATATTCATTCGGAACTACGAAATGGTATCCCGAGAGATTCCCCATTGTGTTTACCTTATTCTGAGCCGAGGGCTCCCTTAACTGTTAAATTTTCGAGAATTTCTTTAACTATGTTATCGTAAAATTTACTTATATCTTTTACTATTTAGTTTATTATATTTGCTCCGGTAAGGCCTTGACCTGACCTCGTCACTACTCAACCGAGGTTAGGCTTGGCACTTACTGGGTACCATTATGGTGTACTCATGTCCTTTCCTGCACATATTTTCGTGTGCAGATCCAGGTGTGAGCTATCAGCCTCGGGGTTAGTGCGTGCTGCTGATTCTAGGAGATTTTAAAGTACTTCTGCTTGCGTCTGCAGATCTTTGGAGTCCCCTTCTACTCCCTCGCCTAGAGACTTTCTTTATTATCTTCAGACTTTTGTATAGAGCTACATAGATTATAGCAACTTGTGACTTAGTGATATTCCGGGTCTTGGGAAATTATTTTGTATATGTCGAGCGGTACTACTCTTGGTTATTCATAATATGCTGTTTATCTTTAAAATATTGTGTTTCTTTATATTTTTCGTAATATTAGGCTTACCTAGTCGTAAAGACTAGGTGCCATCACGACACCTTACGGAGGGTTAATTTGGGTCGTGACAATACCGCAACAGACTTATTTAAAAGTCAATATATACTTGATTAAAATAATTATATTAGACGATTGAAAATGAATATATTGTGGAAGCGATTTCCATGCTATAACGGAAATTGGTTGAAATAATAATGGATTATGACTGCTGAATTGGCTTCAATTATTATAAATGAGTTATCCGATTTATTTCTATTATTTGTTGTTGTTACTAATATTGCGTACAGGTTAATGTAAGTGACCCGCCTTAGCCTCGTCACTACTTCGTCGAGGTTAGGCTCAGCACTTACCAATACATGGGGTCGGTTGTACTGATACTACACTCTGTACTTCTTGTACAGATTTCGGAGTTGGTCCCAGCGGCGTACCATAGACTTGCTCAGATTTCAGCTACCAGAGGAGACTTGAGGTATAGCTGCATGGCGTCTGCAGTTCTTAAGTCCCCGTCTATTTTACTTTTGCTGTGTGTTTATTTCCAGACAACTTATTTATTTCAGACCTTTATTTGTATTATTCTAGAAGCTCGTGCACTTGTGATACCAATTCTGGGATGGTATTTAAACACCATTATTTTTATGAATTATTTACTATATTGCAGACCTTACTTCCGTATTTATTTCTTTGTTATTAATAAATTTAAAAATTATTTAAAAATGGCTAATATTATTCTAACGTTGGCTTGCTTAGCAAGTGAAATGTTATGCGCCATCACGGTCCGAATGTGAGAATTTCAAGTCGTGACAGCCATGGTGGCTGGATTCAACTTCAAATGGGCAGATTGGGAATTTGACATTTTTAATTTGACCTGAAATTAGGAGCTCAAAGAACAAGTGTAAAATAGAGTGTGTTATGTAAATTTGTATCAAATTGCCACTATTATCCTTAGCCCTACGGTGGGCGCCAAACTGTTTACCCTAAAAAATGGATAACAATTAAATTTATGTGTGGCTTTAAGGATACAAGTAATTCAATACAAATGATAAATTACGTTAGATTAAACAGATAAATGACATAAAAAATTATCAAACCAATTAAGGAGAGTGATCTCAGACTCAATAACTTTAATGAAATGCCTGCCTTTGATCTCGGGCTCACGATAATGAAGAACTTATGAACAAAAGTAAGAACTTTGAATAACAGAGAAAATAAGAGCATATTGCCTTGATATGCGTGTTACAATGATGCCTAATGAATGGTCAGACTCCTTTTTATATAGTGGGGGAGTTTTACTCTAAGTACAATTCCAAAAGAAGTAAAAATCTTTCGTTTTACTAATCATTGATTTTCTGCCGATATGTGCCGAGATTCATGCCGTAATATCCGGCTGGGCACGGATATCGCGATCCTTTGTTTGTCGTGCTCGATTATTTGATAATGCTCTCTGAAGTTTTGGGGTTTGAATCGGACCTGGGGGATGTGGCCCCGATTCTTCCGAGGCAGGTGAATTTTTCGGATCCCGACTCGAGGGGCTCCTTCTCCCGACTCTGATTCCTTACGATCACATCTCTGCTCTGTTTACTTCATCGGGAACCGAAGCGTCCAAAGGGTTCAGTTTCACTCGTATACAGTGTACGTGTGAAAAATTAGAATCAACACAACTCATATTGTCATGTTGGGTGAAGTATATTTCATATAGTCATAACAAATTTTTATTATTATCTAATTTAGAATAAAAACTAAACAAAAGGAAGTCGACAAAAGATTGGGATTCCAGTACTTGCTTAACGATTCTTATGTGTTAAATATGGAAACTTGGAAGGGATTTAGATTTACTGCTTTCCTAACATTCCATGCAATGAAATAAAGGTTCTTATTGATTATTAAGGTCATAAATTCTTGAAAAAGTTAAAGTTGTTTCTATCTAACTTTATTACGGAGCATCTGGTTTAGTCTAAATATGATTAAAATAATTCTGACAAAAGAAAAAAGAAATATACAAATACTTAGAAGTAGATGGTTTCCAACTGATTCCTATTTAATTAAAACGACCATAATTCTAGGAAATTTTAAAGGGAAAAAGTACGATTCTTATTAGTTTTTACATCATTAGAATCGTGGCAAATTCATAACTACATAGCAGACCACAAAACAAATTTATATTTGCATTTAATTTATTTCATATATTTCTTATGAACATATTGCTATTTAAATTGAATTTTACTTCAAAATGAAGACAAAAGCGTTTAAAAAAAAAGCTGTAATAACATTCCGTAAAATTGAAAACCTTAGAAACGTGAAAGGATTGGATTTAAGGAAAATAGTTGCACAATTAAAATAACGTAAAATCCTACTCAAATTTAAAGTCCTTAATATTAGAACTTCCTACATCAAAGATTTAATAATTTTATTTGATTTCGAACTTCTAAATATTAGAAAAATAATTAAATTATAATTTTATCCTATGTAAAATTAATTTTTAAAGGGTAAAAAAGACGAACGACATTTCGCTAAGAGGTTTCGTGCTTTTAATATATATATANAGAATTTCCCAATAAGGTATGAACCTTCTTCTAGAAAAACAAAAATTAAGATACATTTTACTTACGATCGTTTCTTTAAATGGGTCGCTGTTTCCATAAATTGTTGAATTACAACTTGGAAAGCATTCCTTTTGCTTTGATATCCACTTAATACTAACTAGCCACTTGTCTTAAATATACTGATAAATACATTTATGTAAATATTTTCTCTTGCTAATAAAAAAAAAAGTTAACATAAAGATTTCTTGCATATATTTTCTCCTTTCCAAACCCTGTCGCCGTTTCATGTCAGGTCAATTTTTTTGTTCATTCTGAAGAGAGACAAATTCCATGGAAATTCTTGATAATTAGAATTTTGCCATAACGATCTCGCGCATGAATTCTTCGGGTGCTGCAAAACATAGAATATTTGTAATATAAACTAGTAGTTTACGGTTTATATTTGATGAAAATTACCACAACTTTGTAAGATTCAATTGAAGAAAATGTTCAACACAATCAGAGGTAGACATTGCAGGAATGAAACATTAAAACAATTAGATTTACACATAACACAGAGAAGTACGGGAGCATTGCGGTGGGGGAAGGAGAATTCTACATCAGTTCATCTGATCTTTGTTCATTTGAGTATCAGCTAAAGTAAATCGTCTTTTTTCTACAAAAAATTGAAGCGTCAATTTTTATATGCTGGAAACGTTTTGAGAAAACTCAAAAATGCTATGCATTATGTTATGCAAATGAGTTGAACTAAATCTGAATCGTAGCAAATCCAATTCCAGGTTAATAGTCTCCAGTCCTTGTTCCCATGCAACATATAGAAGAATAGAAAGTTACCTTTACTTCCCGTGAAAAGGTGGAATTGGCCAATGGCCTGTCTAAGAAACATTTCAACTCCACTGACAGTGATTGCTCCAGCAGCCTCAGCGTCTTTCAGCAGAGTAGTCTTTCTAGGTGTATAAACAGCATCAAACACCACTAGATAATCCTTCAAGGTTGCCTACAAGTAAAAACCATGAATTTAATTCCCAAAAAATACTTGTGTATATACATACATACATATAAAAAAGAAAAGAATGATTTGAGATACCTCAGAAACAGGTATCCTATCTTTATTTGGATGCATTCCGATAGGTGTTGCATTGGCAAGGATTGCACCTTTCTCAGGCTGAAAAGAAGCTAAATTCTCAAATGGCAGAGCTTCACCAGAAACTGCAGCAGCAAGAGCCTTTGCTCTATCAAAATCAATGTCAAAAATCATAATTTGAGCTCTCCTGCTTTTGGCTCCGAATGCCAAAGCTCTTCCTGCACCTCCAGCACCCACCAGCACAAACAGTTTACCCGCGAGTGGAGAAGGAAGAAAAGCTGCTCCATTTACTATCAAGTTCCACAATATATATTCATCAGTTAGTCACCTTGAATTGCTCAAAGATAGGTAAGCAAAAGAGAACACACAGATAGGTAAAGCAATCAGAAGAAAATGGTCTAATAACTGTTCTACCTTTCAAAGCATCCTCAATGGCTGTTATAGAAGCCTCACAATCTGTGTTATAACCAATTAGCTTTCCGTCGCAAGGCCTCTGTATGATAGTATTTACAGCCCCTATAGACTAATGAAACATCACTAAGGTAAATTAGGTGGGAATGCAGAAAATGGATTATTGTGCTTGACATAATCAAAAAAGTCTCTTGACATGAATGCAAAATAATTTTTATTTTTAAGTAAGCTTTGAACTGAAAGGAAAAACAATGGGAACTTGTATCAAATATCTTTGTGCAATAACTAGTAAAAGCTTATCCATTTAGAAGAGACAAACCACTAGTACTGACAGCTTATTTGCAATATACAGAAAAGGAAATCGATATGTGCCCTTCTTTTCATATTGCTTGAATTTCTAATAATTCCACAAGAGTCATCTAGTATTAAACTAAAAATAGAGTATTTTTCTTATCGTGAATCCAATATCATTAAAGTTTACAAGCTTTTGCTGCACCTGAATCTTCTAAAGTGTCATTACTGATATATAGGTCAATGCCATTACTCAGGCCCAAAAAGAAAGATCCCCAGGGCATCGAAGTCCAGTTATGTCAATCATTTTGTTCCATATGCCATAAATGAATTAAAGATACAGTTGAAAGTAGATTGACATACGAACCTTAGCCAGAGGATCGACTTCATCACAAAAACTCACCACTGCTTCCTTGTAAGGGATCCCAACACTACAATTCATAATAGGAACATATAAGGACCAGATGCCAAATATCTCTCGACTGAAAGTTACCCAATTCAACAATAAAGTCCAGTGATTTTCTTAGAGACTGATAGCTGAATGATTAGTGCGTGACATACCTGAAACCAGCAAAGTCAGGACTTGAGTAGACCCTGAAGAACTCCTTAAGATCATCGACAAACATTGGAACATAAATTCCATTGTACCCCACATGTCTAAATGTAGGATTATGCAAAATAGGTCCTTTACTATGACCCACTGGTTTAGAGATGAGCCCAAACACTTTAGTATCAGTATCCATAAAATCAACTCCATAGGCTTGTCTAAGGCTGCCGAGAGTAGGCAGACCAGGTACAGCATTACAATCAAGAGATCCATATACTAGGACACTACCAAATTTCGGGCCCAACAACTGACTTATGAGACCTCTTTCCCCAAGAGAGTATGCAATAAGTGGTACCTGCAGATAGCAAGCTGATTTATCCAAGTTTCATATCTTCTATGAATATGAAAGTTGTTTCTAAACTAAACTCCAAGATATTTTGTTGTACTTCACTCAAGCAGATAATTTCACAGTATGAAGATGCCAAGTGTCCTCGTCTAATTCTAAGTGGACAAATTTCTGTATTTTTTCCATTACACTATTGACATGATCCCTGTAAAGGGAAAAGACAGTATCAATTCGAACCAATACCTGGCAATGTGAAAGCAAGTGAAACATTTTCTCTAGTTCTGTAATGTCATTTGCATTTGTAACAATTTTGAGGATATCAGCCCCAGTAGATTGCATGTGTGCAACAACTTGGCTGAGGTCTTCTTTTGAGGTCACATTGTCCACAAAGCATGATGCAATTACTTTACAACCACTACTCCACCTCGACTTTTCTTTTTTCGTGAAGTCACTAGCTATCTGAACAAGATTATAGAAGTTCAGGAACACTCTACAATACCAAATAAATGCTCTTAGAGCCAACAAATAACTGATATAAATATACAGATATTTATAATATTTGGTGGATACTAATACTCCATAAAATACCAAAATGTGGCAGTTAAAATAGTGGCCAACATTACGAACCTGGAAAGACGAGACATACAAGACAAGGAACCAAAATTTGCATAACCAACCAAAACAAGTCAATAGTGGAAAATCTACTCATAACACTTGTCCGTCGAGGGACTTGCATTACGATAACTGCACCTTTCTTTGTCAAAATTAAAGATGTTTCCCTTAGGATGCAATTATGCATTGACAGTTAGTTTACTCAAATAAATGCTCAACACAGGCTTGCGCTAAAATGAAAATGATAGAAATATAATTAAATTCTAAATGTACTTTAAAATACAGCTACAAATACAGAACCGGAAACCAGTAACTTTTGCCTAGGCCTTATATATATATATATATATATATATATATANCTATTTATTAATTTAAGATCACTATAGAAACCCATAAACTTCAAATCTTGGATCCAGTTCTGGTTAGAGATGAGCTTACACTTTTAGATAATGTGGTCACATGGTAAGCAAAGGTCTTAAAATAAACTCTCAGAGTCACCCAATTATCCAAAAGTGCATTTGAAATAATAAATACTTTGCTATAACTATCTCCTTATTTGTAACTGTAATTTGAAATACTTTTGAAATTGAAATTATATTCTATCAGAAAGACTTAGAAGTTTTGGAATATTCCAAGTCGATGTGGAGATACTTCAGTTTAGACCAAGTAATGAATAGTACGTACCTTGAGGTCCAACTCAATATAATCAGCTCCCAATTCTTTAGCCCACCGAAGGACTTCCAACTGCTTGTGGATGTGGTCATCATCCTCTTCAAACTCATTTCCTTCCCATATTGGCCTGAAGCTCAGTATAATGACTTATTCAGCAAACAAGCCTAAGGACCGGCGTTTTAAAAAGCGTGGGTGTAAGGCAAGATGTTTTATATATGCCTCAGCGAGGCGTAACCCCGAGGCATGGGACGTAAGCCCCATGTGTATTTAATTTTTAATATTTTATAAAATAATATAATTACAAAATATTTTTAAATAGGCAAAATTGCATAAGAATTAAAGAAAATATAAATAAATGAAATATATATATAGATGTGCTCCATCCTCACAAAAAATTAGTCAAAATATTCCATTATACGCTAATTACAAGTACAAGCAACTTGAGTAGAATAAAAATTTTTACATGGAAAACAAAAAGGATTACTAACCTGCAATTTGAACTTTGGACCTACGAAGGAGAACATAGTTTTCTTTGTATTTGCAAAAAAACAAAAAAAAACTGATTGTTTGTTGCTTTTGGGAGATAGTAGCAGATTAACGGACAAGATAAAATATTGAAAAAGATCATAAATTAGTGCTTCTAGCAATAAAAAAAAGTCTTGACTTTTAAATTTCATGTTTCGGTTTCTTTTTAAAACTTCTGAGTAATTACAAGATGATTTTTGAGAATTTGGACATTATATTAAGGACTTATTCAGCAAATTTTATTTTAATTTTAAAAAGTCTCTTGAGCTTATGCCTTACTGCAAAAAAAATGTAACGGTCGGGCGTACGCCCCGAATTGTTAGGCGTACGCCTCTTGAGACTTTCGCCCCGTACCATCGTCTCGGGACATTTTTGGATCGCCTCGCCCCGGAACTCGCCCCAAAAATGCCTTTTAAAATACAAGTAAGGACACAGAAAAAGTACTCCATTGCACAGTGCTGTTCTAACAAATGATTAACTAGCTTGAAAAAGGATAACGGTCTATCATTTGAATATATATGGAAAAAGAAAAGAATTGGAAAGTAAGAAAAATAAAACATCAGAAAGAAAGAAAAAAAAAAAAAAAGGGAAAGCGCAGGAGAAAGTGTAAGAAAATTTCATCACTTGTTTGGTTTGAGAGAAAGTGGACAGGGAAAAATAATACACTATCCACTTTGTAGGTAGGCAGTGCTTTCTTTCCCAATTTAAGTCAACAAAAACCAACCTTCATTACTCTTTTAACTACTTTGTAGGTAGGTAGTGTGTTTTTTTTTTTTTTTTTTTTTTTCAAGTGGAGCATTATTTAATCATCTAACTCCCGTACTAAATGTCTAAATTTCATAACTTTGTTAAAAGTAACGTCCATAGTTTTTTTACGTTTACAACTACAAAACAGTGTTTTTTTTTTTAACTCAAAATATTGTCCAAACGCTAAATAAAGGAGGCGGAAGTATAAAAATATCTCTTCCTTTCCCCGTTACCAAACAGAAATACTAAATGGAAAATAAACATTGCATCTATTTGGGCGTGGATTTTATCAATCCACAGAAGTTACGAACACACTAATTCGTCTTTTTGGTAATTGACTTTAATTACCATTACTCTAACTTCTTAACTTGAGGCAAAACTTGTGGTCCCTTCCCCGCCCCCAACCCACCCAAAGCCATCTTCTCATAATTGAGTTATTGTCAGGCTTTGCTGCCATTCATTTGCATTTTTTGGCGATATAACAGTAGACTGCTAATGACAGAAAGAGCATGAAATTTTATTCATAAAATAGCACGAAAAAATAAAAGGAAAATAATTTTTTTTAAAATAAACAACAAATGAACCTTGATACCTGTAAACAATGAGAACAGGAAGTGGATTATTTTTTAGGAGGACTTGAAGATCTTTCTGGGGTTGGAAGTTGTGGATACCATCCAGCCTAATCTCAACTAAATCAGCACCTTGTGCTTTTGCCTGAAGCATACCATGAACCAATTGGTCCACTGATGGGGCCATTAATGGAGCACAAACCATGGCGGGATTCTTCAACAATCCAACACTACCCATTTCCACAAACCAAATAAGAATCAAGAATCAAGAATCAAGAATCAAGAATCAAGAATTAAGAATTAAGAATAAAGAATTAAGAATCAAGAATTAAGAATCAAGAAAAGAATGGAACTTTAAGCTATTTCCCCATCTAAGCTTCAATACAAGAAATGGTAATATGTAGGAAAAAAGAATCGGTTGCATTGTGGATTGGGTTGGATGAGTCCTATTTATATGCAAAAGAGCTTAATGGAAACATAATCCACTTGTAGGGATTAAACAAATGAAGGAGATTCATTAATTCTCTCTCTCTCCGTGTGAGGGTAAATGTAATTGTCTTTGTTATTGAGTAGGTTAGGGAAAGATAGGTAAGTAATTTAAGTAATGTGGGTTGGAAAATCTTGTTTCGGATACAAAAAAAGAAAAAAACAAACATAGAAGAACGCGACAACTTTGAAAACGTGAAGGGATCAAAGATAAGAATGACAAAGTTTGAATCATTTGCCAAAGCAAAACGGATAGTGCATTGCGTTGAAATATTAGGGGGTTGGTAGCTTCTCTCTCTATATGTGCGCGCGTGTAATTTTTTAAGAGTTCAATTATATAGTACCACAATTTAAGTGATATATAGCAACCTTCATATGAAAATTTAGCTATTGTTTGGATCAAATTAACCAAGCAGTCTAAAATATTTTTAGACTCCCTATGTTTCAATTTATGTGGTGACATTCAGATTTTGAGAGTTAAACGATATCTTCTTTGATTGTGATTTTTCATATGCTTTTTAATACTATAAAGTGTTAATTATTATGATATATAATACTTTCTTACGTAGTTTTTAAATATATAATTTTTATTTTTAAAAGAACAAAATTCTATGCCTAAACTCACGGTTAATAATGAATTATGCCACAAAAATTAGGATAGAGGAAGTAATGTCTACTGCACCTAACAAAAACTCATTTTTCCAACTAGAAAAGTAATTTAGGCATCTCCAACTACCCCCGTATGAGAAATGGAGAAAAAACGAACTAGTAAGGATGTGTTTGGTACGAAGGGAAATATTTTTCGGAAAATGTTTTCCAATTTTTTCATGTTTGGTTGGCTTAAATATTTAGGAAACATTTTTTTCATGAACTCATTTTTTTCCTCCTATTGGAGGAAAATGTTTTCCCTATCAAGAGACATTTTTCAAAACTCCTTCTTGGAGGAAAATGTTTTCCCTATCAAGAGACATTTTCCAAAACTCCTTCTCAACCTTCCCCACCCTATTCTCCATCCTCACCAATCCACACCCATACCCCACCC